CTCGATCTGTATATGTCACTATATATGTGGACTCGTCCCTCTGTAGATAGCAACCATCCGGACAACCATCGGAACAACCATCGGGTCAACCATCGGGACACCTATCGGGACAGCATCTAACAACAGCCATCGGGATAACCATGGGGACAACCATCGGAACAACCATCGGGACAAAGATCAGGGAAACCATCGAAACAACCATCGGGACAACCATCGGGACAACCATCGGGACAACCATCGGGACAACCATCGGAACAACCATCGGGAAAACGATGGAGACAACAATCGGGACAACCATCGTGACAACCATCGGGACACCCAATCGGGACAACCATCGGGACAACCATCGGGATCCCCATCGGGACACCCATCGGGACATCCATCGGGACACCCAATCGGGACAACCATCGGGACACCCATCCAGACAACCATCGGGACAACCATCGGGACAACCATCGGGACAACCACCGGAACAACCATCGGGGCAACCAGCGGGACACCCATCAGGACACCCATCGGGACAACCATCGGGACAGCCATCGGCACAACCATCGGGACAAGCATCGGGACAACCATCGAGACAAGTATCGGGACAAGCATCGGGACAAGCATCGGGACAAGCATCGGGACAAGCATCGGGACAAGCATCGGGACAAACATCGGGACAACCATCAAGACAACCCGCGGGACAACAATCTAGGGCCGCGCCCGGCCGGGGGGGGGGGGGCGGGCGACCTTTTGGGCTCCATGTGGCCTCTACAACTACAGGAACTCGCGCAGCTTCGCCTCGCCCGCGAGCAGCGTGTCGCGGCGGCGGCCCCAGCGACACTCGATGCCTTGCGAGCGGATAGATTGGTGATCCCCAAACGTGGTGGTGAGAACACCCGGTGGTGAGTTTTGGGCGATTTGGGTAATGGTTTTCGAGCGCTGGCTGGCTCAGGAAACGCAAAACCTCGTGGCGACCGTGTGTCCCCAAACCCGGTGGTGACCCAGAATTATTTCTTTGGGGATTCGGGGTCACCACCGGGTGTCTCACCACCTGGTTTGGAGACCACCAAATAGAGTGTCGCTCTGCTCCGCGGAGAGGGAATTGGGAAATGCTCGTGACGTTGATGCGTGGGGACCTGGAATTGGATACCGTGTCGCGTCGAAGCGTGGTAGGCCAGAACCCGCGGAGCGACGCGCTCCCAAACCTTCCCGACCGTAGCGCCTCGCACATTCGTTTATAATCCCAGTCTGCAGGAATATCAGGGACGGAGGGCGACTCCTTTTCAATGTGGGCCCTCGCATTGCCGCATTGACGCCTCGCACATCCATCATACAAACAACCACAACGATGGAACACATGCCCTCTTCAACGCAGGGCTCCGGCCTGAGCGCCACGCACATCCGTTCGTTGTACAGCACGCAAGAGGATGGATGCCGTCTCTTTCTGGAAAACGGGGCCCCGCATGAGACTTCCAAACCGTCGAAGACCCGGAACGTCGACACCTGCAGCGCTGCACGGGTCGAGGGCGGCACATTCTCCCCGAACAGTGCTTGCAGTTAGGGCTTTCACTTCGCTTCTAAAGCAACTGAGCTCCGTCGTCTGCAGGATACTGGAGGCAAGGACAACGACGACCATGGCGGCGGCGGCGGCGACGACGACGACGACGACGACGACGACGACGACGACGACGACGATGGCCGCCCGTCGCCGCCATCCGTCTGGGCCCCGGCCCCGCCCCGGCCGGCTTGTCGCCGCCCGTAGCCGCCCGTCGGCGAGCGCCACTTGCAGCGCGTTGCCTTGCACTGGTTGACACTGCGCTTCGCACTGCTGTGCGCTGCTTGGCGTCGCTCTGCACTGAAATCGCATTGGCTCTGCATGGCTTTTCATTGCTACGCTTTGCTCTGCATTGCGTTACGTTGCTGTGCATGTCTTTGCATTGCTATGCGCCGGCTATTGATTTGCACTGGTTTGCATTGATTTGCCTTGCCTTGCATGGCTTTGCACTACGTTGCATTGCTTTGCAATGCTCTGCGCTCTGCATAGCATTGCTCTGAATTGCGTATCGTTGCTTTGAATTGCTTTGCACAGCTTTGCGGTGCATTGATTTGCATTTGTTCGTATTGGTTCGCATTGCGCTGCCTTGCTTTACATTTATGTGCAGAGGTGTGCATTTGCTTTGCATTATTGACTTGCATCGCTGTGCATAGCGATGCATCGATTTGCATCGCTTTGCACTGCTTCGAATCGACTTGCGCTGTTCTGTTTGCTTTGCTGCGCATGTCGTTGTAGCCATTGTCTCTAATCGCTTCGCGCCATTTAGATGTCACCACATGGGTTGCACCATCTAGGTTGCGCCACATTGATTGCACCACCTAATTTGCACCGCATCGACTGCAAGATATCACTGCCTTGGGTCCACGCTTGCTAACACTCAACATGAAGCTCTTGCTCGAGACTCCCTCGAAGTTCATTGGCACAATTATAAACTGGTGCAACAGTTTGACGGATGAGGGTGCGATCCCTCTTCGAAAGGGCGAAATCTCTAAACTCTAGACACATCGCTGAACAGTATGACCAGATGTTGCATTCCTGATTACGCGCGAACAAGATGCAAAGCAGTTATCTTTCGATATGGGGCAATCGCCAAAATGTCAGGCACATGGTGTTGGTCTTTCACTGGGGCGTATCTTGATGGGAAGAGGTTAGCTTGTAGGGACGAACGGGGAGGGAACTTGGGACGGGAGGGTGGATTGCAGCACGGCTGTTGCATATTAAATTTGCTCAGGTCCTCCTCCAGCTCCTCTTCCTCCTCCTCCTCCTCCTCCTCCTCTTCCTCTCTATTCCTCCTCCTCGTCCTCCTCCTCTTTTCCATCTCCAGATCGCTGTCCCCTCCCTCCCTCCTGCCATCCTGCCCCTCCCCCTCCTGCTCCTCGAGGATTGCAACAATCTTTTTCGACACCCGGGATGACGACGGAGAGAATGTGTACGATGCCCAACAACAGATGTTGTCCAAAACCGACTGCGGCCGCCGTTGGGCAGGCAGCCTTCTGGCCCAATTAGCCTGGCGAAGGACCCAACCATATGCAGTTGTGAGTAATGCTGGTGTGAGTACCGTCTTCGGTGGATCTCCCTATGGGGCCACGAACCGTTTGAGGGGTGTGCCGAAATGGGTGTGGGGGCGGCATGCGAACGTTGCCACTGGGGCCTTCGGTGGAGCTCCTTATGGGGCCACGAAACGTGTGAGGGGTGCACCGAAGTTGGTGTGGGGGCGGCATGCGAACGCAGCCACTGGGGCCTTCGGTGGAGCTCCCTGTGGGGCCACGAAACGTGTGAGGGGTGTGCCGAAATTGGTGTGGGGGCGGCATGCGAACGCAGCCACTGGGGCCTTCGGTGGAGCTCCCTATGGTGCCACGAAACGTGTGAGGGGTGTGCCGAAATGGGTGTGGGGGCGCATGCGAACCCAGTCACTGGGGCCTTCAGTGGAAATCCCCATGGGGCCACGAAACGTGTGAGGGATGTGCCGAAATGGGTGTTGGGGAGGCATACGAACCAGGCCACTGGGGCCTTCGGTGGAGCTCCCTATGGGGCCACGAAACGTGTGAGGGGTGTGCCGAAATGGGTGGTGGGGAGGCATGCGGACCCTGCCACTGGGGCCTTCGGTGGAGCTCCCTATGGGGCCACGAAACGTGTGAGGGGTGTGCCGAAATGGGTGGTGGGGAGGCATGCGGACCCTGCCACTGGGGCCTTCGGTGGAGCTCCCTATGGGGCCACGAAACGTGTGAGGGGTGTGCCGAAATGGGTGGTGGGGAGGCATGCGGACCCTGCCACTGGGGCCTTCGGTGGAGCTCCCTATGGGGCCACGAAACGTGTGAGGGGTGTGCCGAAATGGGTGGTGGGGAGGCATGCGGACCAGCCACTGGGGCCTTCGGTGGAGCTCCCTATGGGGCCACGAAACGTGTGAGGGGTGTGCCGAAATGGGTGGTGGGGAGGCATGCGGACCCTGCCACTGGGGCCTTCGGTGGAGCTCCCTATGGGGCCACGAAACGTGTGAGGGGTGTGCCGAAATGGGTGGTGGGGAGGCATGCGGACCCTGCCACTGGGGCCTTCGGTGGAGCTCCCTATGGGGCCACGAAACGTGTGAGGGGTGTGCCGAAATGGGTGGTGGGGAGGCATGCGAACCCTGCCACTGGGGCCTTCGGTGGAGCTCCCTATGGGGCCACGAAACGTGTGAGGGGTGTGCCGAAATGGGTGGTGGGGAGGCATGCGGACCCTGCCACTGGGGCCTTCGGTGGAGCTCCCTATGGGGCCACGAAACGTGTGAGGGGTGTGCCGAAATGGGTGGTGGGGAGGCATGCGAACCCTGCCACTGGGGCCTTCGGTGGAGCTCCCTATGGGGCCACGAAACGTGTGAGGGGTGTGCCGAAATGGGTGGTGGGGAGGCATGCGAACGCAGCCACTGGGGCCTTCGGTGGAGCTCCCTATGGGGCCACGAAACGTGTGAGGGGTGTGCCGAAATGGGTGGTGGGGAGGCATGCGAACCCTGCCACTGGGGCCTTCGGTGGAGCTCCCTATGGGGCCACGAAACGTGTGAGGGGTGTGCCGAAATGGGTGGTGGGGAGGCATGCGGACCCTGCCACTGGGGCCTTCGGTGGAGCTCCCTATGGGGCCACGAAACGTGTGAGGGGTGTGCCGAATCGGTGGTGATGATGATGATGATGATGATGATGATGATGATGATGATGATGATGATGATGATGATGATGATGATGATGATGATGATGATGATGATGATGATGCGGAGGCGAGGAACGCGGGGCGCCGTCTCTTCAAAACGAGGACCCAACACCACAGGATGGTTGGGAAGAATGACGACAACCGACGACAGCGAACCCGGTTCAGAACGAACGAGAACTGCTGCTGGACTTTATGCCCATGGTTTCCGGGAGGAGGAGGAGGAGGAGGAGGAGGAGGAGGAGGAGGAGGAGGATACCCATTTCGATCGCCCCGAGTCTTGGTCAGCGAGCCGTAGAAATACCTCAGGTTCTGCCTGTCGTCGCTGGGCGTCCCAGCCTCTCGGGGGGGGGGGGCACCAGCGCGCCCGCTGCCTCCTTCCCTTCCTTCTTCTCCTCCTCCTCCTTCCTCGGAAGAAAATTTAAAAAGGAAAGCACACAAAAAAGGGAAATAGAAGGAGAGAGAGAGAGAGAGAGCGAACGCAAGTAGACAGAGGAGGAGGGAGAGAACGAGAACATGCAGAAAAAAACAAGGCCACATGTCCATCCGTGATCATCTCTGCGAGAATTCTGACCATATGCAGCACCATCTGCTCGTTGCCTCAAAATGCCGCTGGCTGCGGTTACCTTCAGAGGAAGTGCCGACGTGATGTATACCACAGCGAGCCTTTGGGTTCTCTGCCATATGATCCGTGATGGTCTGCGTGAAGTAGACGCCTCGGCTAGCAACTTGCTTCCGCGTCCTCCTTGTCCTTCTCCTCATTGCCCTCCACGCGCCTCGCGCATGCTTCCCTCCCCGCCCGAGAGGTAACGGCTGCTAGTTGTTTGAAGACACGCCTCCCGATCTGCCACACATCCCTAGGACCACCGCTGGTCGCGCGGGGATCTCTTTGTGGGCCGCCAGGTACCGCGGCCGCTAGATCCCCAGGGCCACCATCACATAACATAGCATATCAGACAGTGCAGTAACAAAATACACCGAATAAAGCCATAGCACAACATAGCATAACATACCATTGGGATCATAACTTAACGCACGGCCCCCACAGCCGTAGCACACAAGTTTGAAACATCATGTAATATAATGCGATGCGACATACCATATGACACAATGGCAAGCCATAACGGCCATTACTTGCATATGTTGGTCAGCGTGGACACCAAACAGTGTGTCAGACAATTCATGTTGTGCACTAACGTTCGGCCTCCACGCCTGCTGTGGCAGTCGGACCACATTCAACCCTGTGGATATATATAGAGATACAGCGGTCAAGGGGGGATGCTCCATTATCCGGGAAGTGCGGCGATGTGTGTCGCCACCACGTGTTGCGCAATCCATGTTGTATAATATTCGTAGGTGAAACTATGTGGTGCAATCAAGATGCAGATGTTGTGGACATCCCACGCACCCATCCGCAACTTGGTTTGAGAAACCCATGCGGCAGCGATTGCGGTAAATGCTTGGCGGTGGCTGATGCATCTCTGCGGCCGCGGGAGCCCGCGCATGATGCCGCGCACAACGGCCAGGCATTTGGCGCGACCGACACGGCCGCGGTGGCGCTGACCGCCGGGCACTTCCCAGCGGGCACTTCAGTGCGAGTCGGTGACCTGGGCGGGCGCGGGATCATGACGACGCCGGCAGCTGTAGACACGATTCTGAGAGTAGCGATGATGGTGGTGATGGTGGCGATGACGACGGCGAGGCCCATGCCGGCTCCGATGCTGATCACGCCCGCCGATATCGATGAGATGTCCTCGCGTCGGCGATGAAGGTCATTGAAGGAGTTCGACATGCGCGCGCGGCCGGCGCGCGCGAGTGGCCCGCGTGGTATTATTTGGCACGGACAGCACGCGCGCAACGGCGCGCGAACGAGTTCGACATGCGGAGCCCGTCTTGGAGGCCTCTTGGGCGATCTCGGGGCGATCTCTGGGGGCTCATGGGCCTGATCGGGCCGTCGGAAGGCCGAAAAGAAGCGAATGCAACGATATGGGCCATCGCCTCTCCGGGCCTTCCGGGAGGGCCCCTTGGAGGCCTCTTGGGCCGTCTTGGAGACCTCTTGGGGGCCCCTTGGGCCGTCTTGGGGCCATCTTAGAGCCATCTTGGGCCGTCTTGATGGCCTCCTGGCCCGTCTGACGCCGTCGGGAGCTGTCATGGGGGCCTCTGGGCCGACTTCGGGCCCCCTTGGGGTGCTCTGGGGCCGTCTTGGAGGCCATCTTGGGCGCCTTGGCAGCCTCTTGGGCTGTCTTGGGGCTCTCTGGGGCCGTCTTGGGGGCATCTTTGGCCGTTCCGGGGCCATCGTGGAGGTCTCTTGGGCGACCTTGGGGCGATCTTTAGAGGCTCTTGGGACTTCTCGGGCCGTCGGAAGGCTGAAAAGAAGCAAATGCAAAATCCTTTGAATTCCTATGGGCAATGAATGATATTGGCCTATTCGGGCCTTCCTGGAGGCCCTCTTGGGGGGGGGCCCTTGGGCCGTCTTGGAGGCCTCTTGGGGGCCTCTTGGACCGTCTGTCGTCATCTTGAGGCCGTCTTGAAAGCTTCTGGGGCGAACTTCCGAAGCATCTTCGACTCTCTTGGGCCGTCGTCGAGGCCATGTTGGACCATCTGGGGCGAACTTGAAGGCCATCTTGGCCGTCTTGGAGGCCATATTTGGCCGCCTTAGGAAACTTGTTGCAAACGTTGAGGTCGTTTGCGGTCCCTTCCTGGAGCCCTCCTCCCCCTCATCCTCTTCATCCTCCTCCTCCTCCCTTTCCTCCTCCACCTCCCTGCTCCTCAACCTCCTC